ATATATATATAAATAAAGAGAGAGAGAGAGAGAGACACACACACCATCAGCTTTGCTGGGTCAGATAGACCTAACTAAGTTTGCAAGTCGCTGCTGCGACACATCAATTAGCCTAGAATAACCAAAAGAAGGATGTACAACGTGTATGATACATCTGGTTCTGTCAAGTTAATCTGCCCAGCTCGTTCATGCAAAGCTCGCAAAAAGCTATAACATTAAGACTAAGACCCACTATCATATACAAAATGATCCGGAGTTCAGCTCAGGCGCAAAAGGTGGTACTTATTCATCCCTCTTGCCTGCGCACAAAAAAAACATTGTAAACAATATGTAAGATCACTCAAGAGTTGTACTAATAAAATTCCACCAATCTTATCCAAATTCAGAATTGATGCATGGCATCCAAAATTTAATAATACACTTGCATGTTTCCACAGAGAAAGACTAGCATTCAGGAAGGAGAGAATTTATCCTCGTTCCCAAATAGTAGCGCCCACTGAATGTTTGCATACAGATGGGAAGTTATCAAGCATTCCCTTGCTCAACCGTTAACTCTTTAACCCATCTGTAGGTGCCTAGCCCTGGGTCCATGGATTGACCCGGGATATATGTCTTGAATGCAATCATATTATAGGTTATTCCAAAATTTGAAAACCAGATGTTTTACATACTTCAATGTCACATTACAGGAATATTTGTCTATGAACCTGCTCAGCTAAACCTGTTCAATAAAAACGAATATGCATTTTTCAAACTAGATCTTCAACATAGCAGGAAAAAGAAGTGTACCATGAAAAACTCTAGAAATAGATAATCAAGAACCATGTTAGGGCTTCAGGGCCCACGATAGTTTTTTTATTTAAATGGGGCCTAGGATAGTTGACCTGACCAGGCAAGGGCTGGGGGAACCAGCGACCGGCACCCTGGTGCTGTGCTGGCATCAAGATCAACGATTTAGAAAGAAAAGTACCAGGGATTTGGCCCAGATGACATTTCATTACTAATTCTTCTTAACTCCTAAGCAACAACCGTCTCTCTTTATACAGGGAACATAAAGTCATTAAGTGTCAACAAGAAAAATAAAGAACCAATAAAACCCTAAAGTAAGGAAAGTATCAAAAGAACTGATTACGTGCCGATGACAATCTAATTTCAAGTCTCTTGATGAACTTGCGGATCAAAGTCCATAAAACATCAAATGGCATTGGGCATGTTTGTATTACAGATGGGATGGGACAGCATCAAACGTTGACATGTCTAGTTCCATAAAAATTCAATCACTGCCATTGGGCATGTTTATAAATCCAACAAAAAGCTAAAAAGAAAAGAGTAGTATGGTCGTAATTACTGCAAAGGTTTTTATCTATAACCCGGTTATGCTAGATAAATCATAAATAACAAAACACCAAACAACTAAATGATGGCATCCAAATGCACATGTTCTTCGCAACAGCACAAATTCACATGGTAGAAGTCAATGCTTAAGCAAATCATGTTACCTAGAGATGCTTGGTTAGGTGCTACTATGGCAGCAGTAGTATCATCTTGGATCTACAAAAGAAAAAAGTTTTACACTTCTTTATTGTTTGTGATATACAGTCAGTAGTATTAATACAGTAAGTTTAATATTATTACTTGCTGACGCGTCCATGCAATAGAATGTCCAAGTGCATCATTCATTGTGTTTATGTCCCTGAGAGGGCGTATCAGAGGAGCCTTTCCATCCAACACTTGATTGACCAACACTAGGCAACATCCAGGTCCAAGTGCTTTGTCCCCAACTATTGTAGATGTACAAGATGTTTGAAGAGTAGCCTTGGCTACTCGACGATGTGGCCATAGATACGAAAGTAAAAAGACCTCTTTCCCACCCTAAAAGGATGGCAGAAGGGGAGCTTATTGAATGACCAGATTAATGTATGCAATTATATGTGTACATATGTCTTGTGTATTAAATAATATAACCATTACCTCCACATTCAAATCATGCGAAAAGCCTTGTTGTGCACATGCAACTACCTTCCTCTGTTCCACCTGTAACCAAGAAATGTATGGCAAGTTCACAAAATGCAAATGTGAAAACAAGCATCCATATAATCGAAGAAAAAAAGTTACACACATCATGCAGAATCTGACTTTCAGCATCAATCTTCTCTCTCCTAACACGAGGCATACTTTTCGGCACCAATGTCGTATTTCGCACTAACTGTTAAAAATAAGAAAGGGATGGCAAAATCCGCTAGTCAAAACATGGCAGTATATAAGGTGGAAATCACTGTTTCGGTGGAAAAATCAAAGTCATGTTATCAATGGAAGGGTGCTAGTATTCAATGAGTGCATTCTTTCCATATGCTCCGGGTTATCAAGAGAGAAGTCCACTTTTCAACCTTCACGTTACCACTTGGTTTAAGACTCAGCCCTGAACTCCAAAACAGGTTAATTCACTCCACTAACTCACAACACTGTTCAAGACTCAACCCTCTCTTCATTTCACTGATTTTGACCATTGGGTTGACCTGGTTTAGCTCACGTGGAAGCCAACTCAACATGTGCGGTGGCGAGGATAGATATGGTCCCATCTGCCATGCTCACACTACCCCTCTATCTGGATCCCTTCCATCGGACCCTCAACTCCCCTCACTTCCCAGTCCCCCGTCTCCCGTTCTTACACTTTCACCTGCCGGTCTACGTCCCTCATTGAGGCTGGTCCCCCGTCTTACATACAAGAGGAATTGAACAGGGAATTAAAACTGGTATCACTCGGAATCGTGGGGGCGTCTTCACTAGAGGCAGGGAAGGAGCTAGGGAGAGAAGTGGCGCGCGGTTTCTGTAATTAAGGTTCCCAGAAGGATGCTAGCAAGTAGCAACACAGGCCAGGTCGGGGTCGCTCCACCGCGGTCGATTGATTCTAGCCGCACAGCGGGTGGAGGTGGATGAGGCGTCCGCACTGGAGATGCCGCAGGGAACAGACCGGTGATGGACCCGTACGCCGGCCTGTACCTGCAAGAGTCGACGACGACGCTCGGGATCGGCACTGAATGGGGAGCGCTGTACTCCGATGCTGGCGTGCCCTGTTTGTCGCCGCGGGCCGCTAGAGAGAGGGACTTTCCTTTTTTTCTGGCTGGTCCCACTTGTAAAGAAGGGGTCAAACTGACATGGCAACAGTGATGTGGCAGTCAACTTGGTCGAAATCAGCCTTGTCACAGAAAACCGGCTTCAGCTGATCCGAGGGTTGAGTCCTGAATGGTATCAAGAGTTGAGGGGGTAAAGTAACCGGTTTAAAAGTTGAGGGTTAAGTGTTAAACCAAGTGGTAAGTTGAGGGTTGAAAAGTGGACTTCTCTCAGTTATCAATGTAAAGATTTCTATGAACAGTCGGTACAGCCAGGTGAATTTCACAATTGAATATTGAGCTTGCCCCAACAAGAAGTACTAAAAGGGAATTGGAAAAAGAGGTGCTCAAGGGTTTCATTTTGATTTGGTCTTCATAGAAAAAAACAACATATTAATTTTTTCCCACTAGATTGATAGTTTCCAGTATACATGTTATTAATATAAACATGCTTCTGCATGGCAATGTAATAAAATGGAGCTGCACTAACATTGCGGGGAGGCCGATACTTAGAGGTAACCTCCCTATTCTTGCAATGAGGTACTTTCCCTTGCGCCTCTATCTTCCTTTGCAGTACCTATGCCACAAAAATACCTTGATGATACACGTACAAAACAAATGATGTAAAATAATGCAATGCAAAAGAAAAGACAAAGAATATTACATTGCCTGAAAACTGTTTTTCCGCTACAACTGAGTGAGGTGCACTCGCAGCAGAGTCACATCTTATCACCTATTAAAATATGTAAGCAGTTAATGAAAATAGCATCAGCCTTGGATAGATATCAAATGGTTAGGATGTAGATATGCATTATTCAGTTTTTGTACCTTTGAACTTTTTTTTAGTTCTGCCATTTCAAGTTTAATTCTGTTCAATTGCTCCTGCATCTCAACACCCGCACCCTCAATTTTATCCAAGCGCTCTACCAAAAGTATGCTTTCATTATGTGTTCTCGACTTTGCTGGCTGAAGCTTAGTGCATGGGCACTGCCATACTTTAGGCACTTCAAGGTTTTGCCTCTTTGCCTAAACAATTGAAGCCAAATTCAACATCACAATTGGTCAAAATTTGCAAGGTAACTTACTGTCCTTAAATCAAGTAAAACAGTACACTGAACTCAGTGACTTGATAACATATATAATTCTATCAAACCCAAGGAGATGGCATACAAATATAACCTAGCTGTACCCTGAAACTGGTCTACAAGCATCTTTTTTTTTTAGAAAAGGAGGATGACCCCCGGCCTCTGCATCTGGGCGATGCATACGGCCACTTTATTAATTATTCTCACAAAACCTTACAAAGTAATACCACAGTAAGACCAAAGCCGCCGTCTAAGCAACAAACTGTCGCTACACCTATCCAGTTGATGAAGGGGCGCAGATAGCCTGGGCCTAATACCAAACAGACATCGCAGCCAAACTGGTCTACAAGCATCTTAGTTCAACTCACTTTGCAATATTAGCGACATTCAAATATTAATACAATTGAGTAAAAAATGTAAGATCTGAAAAAAGAGTCTCTTCATGGAAAACTTAATGCTTCTAACAAGTCAGTACTTTTACCAAATACAAGCATTACACGAAAGAAAGAAGTATACACTGGAGTTGCCTCCTAACTTGTATGCAGGTATTCCAATAACAGATAGAACAGACTTTCAAGTAAAACAATCTACAAATTTCGCAATAATGCATGAGGTCTGCAAGTTGTTTTTCAAGAACATGGAAGTAGAGTAAACTGCAGGCAGGAGAATCTAGCAAACAACCATTAATAAGTGGATTTAGTGCTTTCAGTGGATTGTTAAAATTCGTTGAAGTTAAAGGTGCATCTAAATATTAATTACCATGGACTTGCTGCCACAGTTATTAATATTTCAGAAATACTTATATTCAGTTAAAAGGTATTACCGATTCCATGATAGCCTCGGTGACCTCTTTCCTGAGGTTGTCGATTTTGGAGTCCAATGCACGTGCCTTGGTATCATCAAAGTCCAAGAGCAGTCTCTCCAAGACTGCGGGTTCATCCACAATGTGTGTCACCTCATCTGTGAGACAAGGGTACAACTGGCACATTTCATCGAATGTCTTGCCCGCGTTTGGCACTTTTGCGCTTGCTTCACCACCGCTCGTAGCAATAGTGCCCCAGATGGTCTTGGAGAGGTGGCAGAGGCTGCACTCATTTTCTTTGGCAGGGACGCCGTTGATGGCCTCGTGGTCGTGCCGGCCCTTGAGACTGCGCACCTTCTGCCGGAGGTCCGGCAGGCTGAAGCCCTTGTTGTCGAAGCGGCCTTGCAGCTGGAGGGAGGAGAAGAGCACCTTGGTTCTCGGCAGCTTGCCGTTCTCCTGGCGATGCGCCGCCAGGGCCTCGAGTATCTTGACCTCGTCGCCGGGCGTCCACGCGTGCTCGGACGGGAGAGGCTTCTTCCCGGGCTCGGCCGCCGGCGTCGATGTCGTCTCGTCTTTCTTCTGGGGCGGATCTGCTGATGGCGCGGTCTTCCTCTTGCGCTCCGGCAGCTGGGCATCGGCCTCCCTGCTCTTGGCTGACGGCGGATGCTTGCTCTTCGCGGGGTCCGGCGGTTGGGTTGCCCGCACCGGGGCCTCGTCGCCGGGTGTCCGGGCATGCTCGAACGGGAGAGGGAGAGGCAGAGGTTTCTTCTCGGGCTCGGCCGGCGGCGATCTGGTCTTCTTGTTCTTTTTCTTCGGCGGACCGGCCGATGGCGCGACCTTCCTTTTGCGCTCCGGCAGCTGCGCGTCGGCCATCCTGCTCTTGGGTGACGGCGTCGCGGGCTCCGGCGGCTGGGTTGCTCGCGCCGGAGGTTTACCGGCGGGGAGCGTGCGCGGCATCGTCGATCGGTTTGGAATGCTAGGTTTGGCCTGGATTTGCGGTGGGGAGAGGCCGAGAGGGGAGGGGAAAAAGTTTGGCTTTTGGCGCCAATTGCAATGTCGTTCCCGCGAGAATGGAAGGGGGTCGGGAATTTGGGGATAGGGCAGTAATTTCTGATTGATGCGATTTTATACATAATTATAGACAGATTTGCTCCCTTCCATAAAACATGAATAAATGCTGAATACTCATTCCATTTCAAATTGTAAGGTAAAATTTTATCACGGCATGCTTTTATTAATATTTAATACTGTATGTGATTTATGACTTAGTGTAACGAAATTTAATTTAAGTGTATTTAACGATATTTGTAAGTGCTTATATGAACCAAATAATGTTGTTAACAGTAGCATATTTTTGGTCAAGAGCTTCTCTAGTGAACGCTAATATGCCGCCTAAAATTATGAACAGTAAATGACGTGTCCATGGTATAATAACTTCGCCAGCGAGACAAGATTATTAGTTTTGTTGAATGTACATTAGAGGAGATTGGTGGCTTATGTAAAGATGTTATTGTAGGACGTCTGTATAATTTAAGATAAATTCTTTGGTGATGTATTTTCTCAAAAATATTTGCGAGGAACTTTCAATCTGTTCATCTTCAATCATGACAATACAACAAACACCGGAAATAATAAAAATTACATCCAGGTCTGTAGACCACCTAGAGACAACTACAAGCACTGAAGCGAGCCGAACGTACGCCGCCGTCATCGCCCCTTCCTCGCGGGACCGGGCAAAACTTGTTGTAGTAGACAGTCAGAAAGTCGCCGTGCTAAGGTCCCGTTGGACCAGTACAGCGGAACAACAACCGTCGCTGATGAAGAGTAGCATAGATCAGAAAGATCTAACCTGAAGAAATACAAACGTAGACGAACTACGACCAGATCCGAACAAATCCATCAAGGATAGATTCACCGGAGACACGCCTCCACACGCCCACCAACGGTGCTAGACACACCGTCGGTACAGGGGCTAGGCGGGGAAAACCTTATTCCATCTTCAGGGACCCGCCGTTGTCTCGTCTTCCTGAGCGGTATACAAACCTAACAAAAGTTGAAGAAATGTCTAAAAACGAAGCCCTCCCGCCAGTAAGGGCCGGGATCCACCGCGCCGCCATGGCACTAAGGCCACCGGAGACGAGGCGGACCGGCGGCGGTGCCGGCGGGAGGCACAGGAACCTTAAAGTTTTCTTGGGAGGACCCTAAGTTTTTTTCGATTCTGATAAACACCTTCTCCTAATTTTATATAATTTGCAATAAATAACCCTAGCTAACTGCCCAGGGCCTTCAAGTTCAGTGACACATACGACAATGGCGTCACCAATGGCACGCACGGCACCATGGTGTGAGGTGCCGAATGGCGTCGGAACAACAAGACGGCAGCACAGGGGTTGCGTGGCGGATCGATGGCGGCACGCACAACACCATGGCGTGGGGTGCCAAATGGGTCGGGACAACGTGACGGCAACATAGGGGCTGCATGGCGGATCGATGGTGTCACTGCGTGAAGATTGTTTGAGGCCATTTTTTGCAGGAAAAAAAAGGACATCTCCCTGGACATGTGCGAGAGACTGGAGGAAGTTTACAGTACCCCATAAAAAATCACGTTTACAAAAACAGTTTGTGGACATTTTTTCAGAAATCCAATTTAACTCTTGGGAGTATATGCTATGCACACTTATTTTTTGCAAATGTAAAAGAATATGAAAAAAAAAGATTTGTTCATTGTCACATGCTACCTGCAATAAGTTATTTTACATGTGCAAAAAAAAGAAAATCGAACGCCAAATGTTACACTTATTTTTGTTTTTTCACCGAAGCACTGTTATCCAGTTTCGCATGGAAGTTGTCAAGCACGCAGGTTAGACTAACATGACCATCCAAAACGAAAAATCAGAATTCAAAACTTTTTACTCCCTCTGATCCATATTACTTATCGCTCAAACGGATGTATCTAGCATTGAAAATACATCTAGATACATTCGTTTGAGCGTCAAGTAATATTGATCAGAAGGAGTACTAATTATTTTAAATTTGTTCATCTGCGAACATACTACTTATACTAAATCTAGACCCGTTCAAAATTTGAGGATTTTTTGATTTTTTTTTCATGTAGTTCGAACTGGTTAATCAGGCCTTGACACGTGTGGTTAGTTTGGGACCTGGACGTGTACACTATTCAGGTGTACGCTGCATTTTCTTCTGGTTTAGTTCCTGGTCAAACATCGGTCCTATCTCTCTGAGGCTTGTTGTGATGGGAGTATCATAGGTAGTATCATGCATGCCAACTAGGCAACTTTGATGAGGTGGCATAGAATTAAATGAAGTAAGAGAAGATTAAGTATCATACTATCATGATACCGTATCATAATAAATATTACACTAGTATGTGTCATGCATGGCAATAAATAAAGTCATCTATGATACTAATATATGATACTATGCATTAAGAAGGTAGTATTATATACTAGTATCATATGCATGATACTACTAACTTATGATACTACCCATTACAATCAGCCTGAACACAAGCTGTATTTTTGGCTGCATGCATGCGGTCGATTTGTTGACCACGTGCATGTACTAATGGATCAGCAGGGCAGTGTATGGCATGTGGGGGTTGCATGCATGGTTCTATTTGCCTCCCGTACGTGTTGTCCGTTGTTTGTATGGGCGTCTCCTGATGTAGTGTGGGTGTCAGCTTGGTTCTGTACGTGTTCTTTCAGCGTGCCGGCACGTCCTTAAGTAGTTCAGCTTGACATTCAACGGTTGGCACGTGTGTAGTTTCTACAATCCTCAGGTTGTGCCGCCGTTGCCGTATATTCTGAAAATCGCTCTTCTCGATGGTTGCGGTTGTTTCATGCTATTTTGCTTCATGACTTTGGGTGCTCCGGTTAGTGTATAAACACGTGTTCCGCCACGTTGTTTCTCTTAGCCTTACACGTTTGGTCTCTGTGCATAGATGGATCATGGCAGGCCTTGCCGAAGTGGCCTCCGCCGTTTAGGTCGTCCTCCTGGAATTCGCCGGTGCAGTTATTGGGCATACCGATTTGCGGCTCCGTTGTCCTCGTAGGATTCTTGGGGTAGTTATTGGGCGTAATGATCCGCGAGGCCGTGGTGCATCCATGTTGGGAGCTGCTGTTGATGATCGTCTGTCCGATAGATGATTTACTGCGTGAGGGCTGTCCCTCCCCCGTGCGGCGGCGCCGCCTCGCACCGGGGAGCCCCCGCCCTCCTCCTACAGCCTCGCCCCTCCTCCGTTCCCCTCCGCCGCCGTCGCCCGGGGCGTCACAGGGCAAAGCCCTTGTGGCGTGACAGCAGCGGGGGTTTCTCCTCGGATCTCGATCTGGTTGGGAGGCGGCGCTCCTCTCCGGCCAGATCGGCGGCGACATGGAAGTGGTGCGGCGGCGGCGGGGGAGGACGACACCGGCAACGGTGGATCTGGCCTTGACTCATGTCGGGCTAATTCGTTGTGCTACCGATCTCAATTGCCGTCGGCGGGGCACTGCTCCTAGACTTAATCTGCAACATGAGAATATCTGGGGCGCCAGCCCTAGGCTTGGTGGTGGTGGCCTTCTTCTTCGTCGGAGTTGGTTGGCCGGCTGGCTGTGCTCGCATGGTGATGCAGTGACCGGCGGCTTGGCCGGTCGGCGGCGGCGAAACTTGGCCGGTGGCAGCGGCAAAGTTCTGTCTAGATCCCGGGGCGGTGGCCCTGGAGGGTGGGGGGCGGTGAAGCTCGGGCTTCCCGCGGCGGCATGGCATGGTGCAGTCCCTGTCCAAGGCGAATCTGTGACGGCGATCTGCTATGGATTGGTTCGGATCAGAGACGGTGACGAGCGCGCGGGATCCTTCTCGGCGGCTCTCGTGGCTTGGCGAGGCGGGGTGGGAGCCCTCCCCCTAGGCTCCAGTGGTGGCACACTCAGGCAGTGGCCGGTGCGCCAGGGATCCCACGGTGGCACTGTTGCTGCGGTTGGTTGCCGGATCAAGGCGGCTGGATCTGGGGCTTTGAAGGCGGTCGAGATAGTGCACTGGTTGTTGGGTGAATTTCTTGGGATGGATCCGGGTGAAAACCTGATTTTTGGTCGATGGCCGGAGCCGGTGATGACGGTGCCCTTATCATCGTTTCCTTCATGAAGGCATCATCGAGGTGAAGCTCCCAACTCCACTCAATACCTCCGGGGGAAACCCTAGATCAGCTGATCGGATGTTGGCGGCAATCATGTGTCGTAACCCCCTTGGGGGCAGCATTCTTGAAGGTGCACTCGGCTTCGTGGGACCAGCGGACGGCTTCTTTGATGGAGCGATGCTTCATCCATATATTGATGGCGACGGATCTGGACGGTGTGGCACAGTGCAGATTCGGAGTTCGACGCTGTCTGGCGTCGTGGTGGCGTCGATGGCAGAGAGACCTGGCACGGTAGATGCAACAGTACAACTCTGAAGATGGACTCGTGGCAGGTGGCTGCGGTGACCCCATACCCGGCAGGCGTCCTGGTTGAGGAGTGCGCCGGACTGGTAGGTGCCCCATACCAGGTAGGCGTCCTGGTTGGGACCTCATGTCTTAGATGTTTATGTTTGGCTGCGATGTCTGTTTGGTATTAGACCCAGACTATCATCGCCCCTTCATCAATTGAATAGGTGTAGCGACAGTTGTTGCTTAGACGATGGCTTAGTCTTACTGTTGTATGATTTTGTAAAGCCTTGTGAGAATAATTTATAAAATGGCCGTATGCATCGCCCAGATGCAGATACCGGGGGTTTCCTCCTTTTCTAAAAAAAGGGTGGTATGACATAAAAAATTCATAATAATAACAACAAAACTATAAATTATTCTTTGACTTTCAACGTCGATAGATGGAGAAAATATTAAAATTCAACATGTTTCTCTTGCACTCCTGTACAAGTTTTATAGCGAGCCAATGCAAACCACACTCAAAATTGACTGAACGTTACAATAG